TGAAGACTTCTTCCAAGCCTGGAGAACATAAGCATGCATTAACTTGTCAGAAAACTCATGGGGAAAGAAAACAGAGCAATATAAACAGGAAACTTCTTGCATCATCTGCTGGGCTCCTGCAGGCAAGGAGGTTCCCCTCCACCTCTCGAAGCAGAGCCGTGCCCGAGCAGCACTGCTTCGCGATGGCAGCGTGCCCTCGGTGGGGCAACACGGGAAGGGAGCCGACCTGGAGCGGCCCAGGCAGACCTGTCCCGCGGGACGGGACTGTGCAGCCCCAGCTCACCAGGTCCCCCGCTCGGCCAAGAGGCCAGGAACGTGCGGTACAAAGGACACGGCACACTGCACCAGGCGCCCAGCACTGGGCACAACGGTCCTTGTCCTCGCAGAGCTGGGGAAGACACTCCTCAAGCACGTGCTACAAACAGACGGACTCCATGAAGCGGCCCAGTAAGGAAGGTGTGCCCCAGCCCACCCCTCCAAGGGCACGGTGACCTACCTGCTGCCCAGCAGTCCTGCAGCAGGACAGGCCCCCGGCCCACTCAACCCCCTGCCCCATGGCACGGGTCTGCCCCGCCGGCGGCATGCAGGGCCCTCCCTGCTCCAGCACGGCCCTGCACAAGCAGCACCCTCGGTCTCTGGCCCAGAGCAAACCCCAGCGAGGAGCTGGCGTTCAGCCCGCACCACACCTCTCTCCTACCCCAGGATCCCTGCTTCCCACCTCCCCTCCCTGCCCTCCCCACCCTTACGCTCAGTCTTGCCAGTTTGGGCAGACTTTCGGGAATCAAAGTTCAGACACATTCTCTACGTTTTAGCAAAATCAAGTCTTTGGTGCTTCAGCTATTAAAAGACCTGGCTAGTCATTACAAGCGTCAGTAGCTGTTTTCTAAGCAGACACAAAGGCAACAGAGTTTTCTGAGTAATTAAAAAACTACTGAGGCAAAAAGATCTCCAACGCATTCACCAAGATTCCCCCGGGTCTGGTACTGCGGGCTCTGCCGCACGGCCGTCTCCAGCCGGGCAGCAGCCGAACCCCGGGGCTCCGTGTGAACCTGGGAAACGGACCAGCACATCCCCTGGGCATTTAACGTACAGCCAGGCTGAAAGCACCCGTGCCTTCGCTTGTTTGTTTTAAAGAGAAGTGAAGGAAAAAGGAAGAAAAAGAACATGGCACTGGCTGTTTATTAGAGAAAGGACGTGAGCGAAAGAGAAACTGGGTAAAGCCTAGAAATAACATGGCTGTCTCAGAAAGAGACAACGGGGTACTTCACCATCACAAAACTCAGAACCATCAGTGAAACTACACAATGTCAAATTTATCACTAACAAGAGGAAGTACTTTCTCACGCAACTCTGAATCCACCTGTGGAACTGAATGCAGCAGGCTGCCGTAGCAAAAGGCAAAGCTATTGGATCCCTAAGGGAACTACAACAACAGCGCAAGATAAAGCGGTGTTAAAGCTTCCCAGAAGATGACAGTGGTTCTTCTTTTCAGGATACAGTTTGAGCCTCTAACTGTGAGGGCTTCAGGGAGCTCACTCCCAGGATGGAGCTGCCACAGCCGCTTTCATCAAGGCTTTACTCCCTGAAGCAACCACCAGCTGTCAGCGTCCCATTACGGACATTGCGTATCTGGAGAAACACAGAGCCTGAGATTGCCCAAGTCCACTCGTTGCCCTTGTCTCGGAACACGACTTTCTCCGCTGCCATCAGAACTGCACTTCTGTGCACCGGGCTTCACGCCTCCAGACAGGGCAGACTGGGTCCCAGAGAGGTCAGGGGGAAGCAGCAGCCCCGCAGCGCGGACGCTGCTCCCGAGCCCGGCCTCGCGCAGAGCACGAGCTCCCAGGCACGGCAACGCACAGCC